AGTTATAGGCCCATCTCACTGTTGAATTTAGACACTAAGATATATGCAAAGGTCCTAGCGAATAGGTTGAAGGAGTTTATGCCTGAATGGATACATGGAGATCAGGTGGGCTTTGTCCCAGGTAGAGAGGGCAGGGACAATGGGCTGAGATCCCTGATGCTGATACAGAGAAGTAAAAAAGGGGAGGTACCGGTGGTGGCCCTATCAATTGACGCAGAAAAGGCCTTTGATAGAGTAGACTGGGGCTTCATGATGGACACCTTAGAAAACCTGGGAATTGGAGGTAGAATGAGGGAATGGATTGGAAAACTGTACAGTAAACCCTCTGCAGTGGTAATAGTAAATGGGGAAAAAACAGAGCCCATCGGGATGTCAAATGGAACAAGGCAGGGATGCCCTTTGTCCCCCTTATTATACGTTTTGTCACTAGAGCCCCTTTTATCAACAATAAGGAAAAACGGAGACATAAAGGGAATCCAGATAGGAAGTGTAGAACATAAACTGGCAGCTTTCGCTGATGATCTGCTGTTTTATGTGGGGAATCCCAGGACAACACTCCCAAATCTAATGAAACTGCTGAAGGAATATGGAGAACTATCAAACTTAAAAATCAACCCAACAAAAACTGAGATTTTAAATATAAACATCCCAAAGAGTGAACAAGAAAAAATACAAGAAGAATTTCCCTTTATTTGGAAAGAAAGAGATATAAAATATTTGGGAGTAAGACTTAGCGCGTCGTATATAAAAACTTGTATAAGCTAAACTATATTTCTTTATTAAATGAAGTAAAGGGAGAATTAAAAGCATTAGAAAGAGGAATCCCATCGTGGTTAGGTCGTATAAACTTGGTAAAAATGATAATTGTACCAAAAATTATATATAGATTCCAAATGATACCAATTAAACTCCCAGAAACTTTTTTTAATGTAATAAAAAGAATGATAACGGGATATATCTGGAGGAAGAAAAAAAACCAAGGGTGTCCCATGCAATACTAAGTAGAGATAAAGAGAAGGGTGGCTTGGGAGTTCCGGATATAAAGAGATATTACAAAGCAGTATTATTAGGGAGAATTTTTGATTGGACGTTTAATTTAGAGGAGAAAAGTTGGGTAAAAATAGAGAATACACTTAGTGGAACCAATTTGAATAGAATAATATGGCTACCGACACAATATAGAGGATTGAAGGAAGATTTAAGTTTGTACACTGTAAATGTATTAAGGGAATGGGATAAAATACACAAATATATGAAATGGGAATTTAATTCTATACTTATGCCACTAAAAAACACAGAATTTTTTCCACCAGGTAGAGAAGAGATAACAGGTAGATGGCTTATAAAGGAGGATGTCCAACTCAGAGATATAATGGGGGATGGGAAACTGAAGACCTTTAAAGAGTTGGAAAAGGAAAAGGGAAATATATTCACTAGATTAGATGAGTGGCGTTATCATCAATTAAAAAGTTTTTGGGGAAACCTCCCAAAACCCCTGAGAACGAAAAAGGATTGGAATTTGTTTGAAAGGTTGCTGGACTCACGGGGTGATGGGAAACATGGAATAGCTAAAGTATATAGAATTCTCACAGATTTAGACACAAACTCTAAACCATTGCACATTGTGAATTGGGAAAGAGATATGGGGGTGGTATTAGATGAAGGAAAACAGAAGAAAATAAATAGATTAGTTCACGAAAATGCAAGTTTGAGGGATGTAGAATTAAATTACAAATGTTTGACAAGATGGCACATTGTTCCGAGTGTGGAGGGTAAGATAAGTGTGGAGAAATCACAGTGGTGTTGGCGAGAGTGTGGGGAAGTGTGGACAGTTTTTCATATTTGGTGGGAATGTCCAATGATTCAAATATTCTGGAAAAAAATAATATATTTAATAGAGAATATCACTGAATTGAACATCGGGTTAGACCCTGGGTTGTGCTTGCTACACAGTTCAGAGATATCAGTTAGTAAGTATAAGAAATTAGGTTTAGGGTACTATCTGAATGCAGCAAAAAGTCTGATCCCCAAATATTGGAAGAAAAAAGAAATACCGAAAGAGGAGGAGTGGATAGAGAGAGTAAATTGGACTAGGGAGATGGAGAAGACATATTATCTACAGGAAGATAAGTTGGAGATATATCTCGTGAAATGGGAAAAATGGGAAAATTTCGTAATAAGTATGAGAAAGTGAAGAGTAGAATGTTATAGAGAAAAATTGGGTAGGTTATGCTTGCTTTGGATACAAGTCAAGGAAATGCAGAGTGGGGGGGGGGGGGTGGGGTCAAGGTTTTAAGAGGGGGGTAATTGAAACAATAAGAAAAAATCGTATATTTATAATGATGGAGATGAAATTGTTTATGGTTATTTATGTGAAAAATTACTAATAAATATTTAAATAAAAAAAATAAATAAACCTACCATCACCCTAGCAGTACAGGGTCACCATAGTGACACTACTACTTGTGGGGGGCAATTAAGATTTTTTTTTTTTTTTTTTTTACACGGATTGCTTTTACACCCATAAAGGCTGTAAAAGCAATTATTTTTCCTCTCTGGCTGTGTTCTTGCAGCCATTGAGAAATACTGAGAGTTGTGATTGGTTACAGCTTGTCACATGGTACAAGGCTGTTGTGAATAGCCTTGTACCGTGTGATCTCTGTGATCGTTCACAGATTTCACTAGTAGTAAGCAATGTCAGTGAGTGACATCTTGCTTACTACTGTTCATGTGATCGCTGTTAGGCCAATCAGTGATCACATGATCGGGACCGCGTACAGAGGTCCCGTACAGCGATTGGTGTTCTGCTGTGTCCTCCGGACACAGCAGGCACTGGATTGCGGTGCTGCGCTCTCCCAGGGAGCGCACACAGGCAGTGAATGCGGAGGCTGTTTATAAATGGCCACCCGCTCCTGCACTGCTCCCGTCCAGCTGTTTATGTACATGGGTCGGATGGGAAGAGGTTAAAAAAAATAGCTAAATGCCTCTTTTAACTCACCTGAGCTGTGATTAAAGTGATTCTTTAATTTTGTAATCTACTTCAAGTAGGCAAAACTTTTATTTTCACTTTAGATTAATGGTGGGTTATTACCCCTGTCAGAATTTTATTCACCATCTGTGTTCCATTGGGGAGATTTCCCTTCACTTCCTGTATCATAGCCAAACAGGAAGTGAGGGGAAATCCCTGCAAATCATAGAAATTCCTTGGGGACCCCCAAGTCACCAGAACTAATGTCTCCTTTGGAAGATTTCCCCTCTAAAATGTGGGATTTTCTTTTTCTTTCGATGATAATGGTAAACAGGACAAAGAGAGAGGGAGGAATCTCCCTAATGGGAGCACAGACAGCAATATACAATTACAGATGTTTTCATCCCTCTGCATTCTGTCCAAAACTGAAAAAGAAGTTTTGCCTTTACTTACACTTTAACCCCTTCATGCCTAGGGGTAAAACAAATCTAAATGCCTAGGCACAATTCTGCAACGTTGACATGTGTTAGTAAAACCGTCCGTATCATCACAACTACTTTGTACATCCAGGTGGATTATATCTTGTTTTTTTCAGGACAAATTGGGCTTTCATTTGGTGGTAAATGGTAATGGATAGCTCCTGATTTTTTTTTTAATATTAAAGGAAAACTGGGCCAAAATAGTAAAAAAAAAATCATTTTTTTAAATTTAGCTGTGTTTCTTGTTACGACCATAACCTACCACCAAAGAACAACCCAAAATACATTCTCCAGTTCTTGACGATCGTAGCGATACCATCTATGTGTATGTTATTTGTTGTTTGTACCCGTAGTACAGTCCAGAAACAATAGTGCGCATTTTGTTTTTGTCTTTTTTTTATTTATTTTTTTTTACATAAAACACACTGTCACTGACATTAACTGACACCAATTTTTTTAAATCCTGACCTTTGACCCTGACCTTGCCCTTGACCCAAACACTAACCCTGGTACTGAACTAGATCAAACCTTGATCTAGGTATTTTTCTTTATTTTTTATTTTATTTTTTAATATTTATTTATCTTTTTTTTTTTTTTTTACAAACTTTTTTTTTATCTCTCTATGTCAGGAGTTCGAGAGATACAATGTATCTCTCTTCTCCATTCATAGAGAGAGAGAAAACAAGGGGGCCGGGCTGCACAGTGATTGATCACTGTGATAGCCAATCAGAGGCTATCACAGCGATCACGTGACCCGGAATCGGGAGTCCCGGGTCCCGATCGTTAGAACGGGACCCGGGGCTCTCAGTGACACCGCGGTCTTGGTGCTGGGAGCGCGCCGCTCGGACACAAGCCCAGCACAAAGACAGGTACGCAAATATGCGGCCCCACGGAAAAAAGCCCAGGTCCGTGAGGCCGCATATTTGTGTTACATCGGTGTCAAGGGGTTAACCACCTAGCCCTCCAGAGCCCCCCCCCCCTTCTGACAGGTAATTTTTTGCGATACAGAGCTGCGTTATTTTAACTGACAATTGCGCGGTCATGCAAGGCTGTATATAAATGAAATGTATGTCCTTTTTTCCCCCCACAAATAGAGCTTTCATTTGGTGGTATTTGATCCCCTCTGCGGTTTATTTTTTGCGCTATAAACAAAAAAAAAAAGGACTAACAATGTGGAAAAAAAAACTATAAAACATTTCCAGTAAAAAAAATTAAATTTTGCCAAAAAGTTGGGCCAAAATGCATTCTGTGACATGTCTTTGATAAAAAAAAAAATCCCAATACAGGTAAATTAACTGGTTTACGTAAAAGTTATAGCGTCTACAAATGGCGGTATATATACTGGAATTTTTTTTTTTTTTTAATACTAATAATGGCGGCGATCAGCGACTTATAGCAGGACTGCCATGGGCATTCTCTGGGGGGAACTGACTAATTGCCACTGACATCCCAATGACACTAATACAGTGATCAGTGCTAATAAAAAGCACTGACACTGTACTAATGACACCGGGCAGGAAGGAGTTAACATCTGGGGCAATCAAAGGGTTAACTGTGTGCTGTTTTGCTGTGTGTGTGTTTTACTAGGGAGACATACTGCTGTGTATTTTTCTGCTGTGCAGGGTACTTTTCAGTTACCAGCTTATTCTTCTCATGCAGCGTTCGCTATTCAGTATCCGGTAACAAGTCCCGCTGAAGCAAGAGAGGACGGCTCTGATAATGTCCCCAGTTTTCTGGATAGCATCTTTTGGATGGCTGTACCTAAGTCCAGAAGAACTATTGAAGTAAATCGCACTCGACGAAGACATCCTAGTAAACTTATAATAGAAAAGGTAATATTTGTTTAATAATATGGTACAATAAATGAATTCAGTGCTTCCTCTGATTGGCTGAGGTGGGCAGATGATGACTTAAACAATTAGAGGAAGCTTTATATTCATTCAGAGAACTCAAAGCTTGCTGTGAATGGCTGAGCATTGCTCTGCCCAGCTCAAATGTTTTCCAAGAGTGGGACTGGAATACAGTGTTGTATATTATATGTAGCTGAGGCAACCTACAGTTTATACAGCGCTCCCAGCTGTTAGTGAAGTAAATAGTTAGTTTGGAACAGCATGGTCCTAATGACCTATTTAACCATTTCAATACCGGGCAATTTTCCCCCTTCCTGCCCAGGCCAGTTTTCAGGTTTCAGCGCTCTCACACTTTGAATGACAATTGCGCGGTCATACAACATTGTACCCAAACTAAAATTTTATCATTTTCTTCACACAACTAGAGCTTTCCTTTGGTGGTATTTTTATTTTTTGCTAAATTAACAAAAAAAAAAACACAAAAATTTTGAAAAAAAAACACGTTTTTCTTTGTTTCTGTTATAAAAGTTTGCAAATAAATAATTGTTCTTCATAAATTTAGGCCGAGATGTATTCTGCTACATGTCTTTGGTGAAAATAACCCAAATTAGGATGTATTTTTTAGTTTGTAGGAGAGTTATAGAGTTCACAAACTATGGTATAGATCTGAATATTGATCAATCCTGAAGTACTGACAGCCAATCTAATTTCTTGAGGTCCAAGAATGTCAGAACAGTACAGATATCCCCCAAATGTCAGGACGGTACAGATATCCCCCAAATGTCAGGACGGTACAGATATCCCCCAAATGTCAGGACGGTACAGATATCCCCCAAATGTCAGGACGGTACAGATATCCCCCAAATGTCAGGACAGTACAGATATCCCCCAAATGTCAGGACAGGACAGATATCCCCCAAATGTCAGGACGGTACAGATATCCCCCAAATGTCAGGACGGTACAGATATCCCCCAAATGTCAGGACGGTACAGATATCCCCCAAATGTCAGAACGGGACAGATATCCCCCAAATGTCAGGACGGGACAGATATCCCCCAAATGTCAGGACAGTACAGATATCCCCCAAATGTCAGGACGGGACAGATATCCCCCAAATGTCAGGACGGGACAGATATCCCCCAAATGTCAGGACAGTACAGATATCCCCCAAATGTCAGGACGGGACAGATATTCCCCCAAATGTCAGGACGGGACAGATATTCCCCAAATGTCAGGACGGGACAGATATCCCCCAAATGTCAGGACGGGACAGATATCCCCCAAATGTCAGGACGGGACAGATATCCCCCAAATGTCAGAACAGTACAGATATCCCCCAAATGTCAGGACGGTACAGATATCCCCCAAATAACCCCCTTTTTGCAAAGTAGACAGTCCGATGTACTTCATAAGAGGCATGGCGAGTTTTTTGAAGTTGTATTTTTTTTGTCATAATTTTTCGGAAAATGAAAAAAAATAAAAAAAATTATTTTCACTATTTTTTTTTTTTTTTTTTACATACTGTCACCAGTGCAGTACAGCGTCCTCATATAACTGGCATGGCGGTGATCAGGGACACTGACTGGGGACAGTATGAAAAAAAAATATTTTTTTTTTTATTATTTTTAATTTTTTATTACATTTTTTAAAAAAAATTAAAAGTTTTTTTTCATATTTTACTATGACTAAAGCAGTACAATGCTACCATAGTAACATTGTACTACTATGGTGACATGAGAAAAAAAAAATATGTTTTGTTTTTTTAATTTTTTTCATTATTTTTTATTACATTTTTTTTTCTTTTTTTTAAGATTTTTTTTTCATATTTCACTATGACCAAAGTAGTACAATGTTACCATAGTAACATTGTACTACTTTGGGGAAGTGATCAGTATTTTTTTTTTTTCTACACAATTTGCTTATAGCAAAGAATTACTTTTCTATAAGCAAGCATTTACCTGAATGACATCGATTCATTCAGGTTTTTTTTTTTGCTTAGCTGTGATTTGGCCACAGCTAATCACATGACATGTGCATGTGATCGCTGTGACCATTCACAGCTAGACACTAGTATACAATGGATGGCATGAATGAAGCCATCCATTGTATACAACTGTCATGTGACCTGCTGTGATTGGTCACAGCAGGTCACATGGTACCGGCAATGGGGCCGATACTCAGATCTGTCATCAGCCGTGTCTGAGGTACACAGCTGGTGACAGATCTCCCGGCTCTGCAAGCACGAAAACTGCGCATGTGCGGGAGGACGCCGAATAGCCATTGGCTAATGGAAAGCTAATGCATTTTCGCGGCCCGCCAAATGGCCATTGGCCAGGCGGCAAATGGTTAAAAAAAGGGAATCAAAAAAAAAAAAAATTGCCCTCCTGGGTGAACTACGTATGTACATTACAAGGGTTTTAAGACTTTCTTGCAGATTTCTACCTTTTTTGGTTATTCTGAAGAAATGGCTGTTTGTCTGTCTGTGTGGAAAGTGAATCTAATGGGAGAGGTTTTATAACTATCGATCAGCTGCGGCACTTGCAGGGCTCTAATGAGGAAAATTCCTGTCCCTGAATCCCTTTTAGACGTAATTTTCCTTGGGGGGTATCTCACCATAAATTCCATTTTTGTTGCTGAGAATGCCTGAAATCTGACTTGTTTGTTAGTGCAGACATCTGGGAAAATCAGCGAGCCAATCACACAAGCAGGAAATTATGTTTCTGGGGGAAGTCTGTATACATTGTTTGTACAGAACACCTCCAGGTAGCCATATTGCATTGAATTTTACAGAAAATTACTGCACTGCAGATTGAAAAGGAAAGGTAACTTTTATAAACACTCCATTGCAATATGACGTGTGTGTGTGTGTATGTATGTGTGTGTATGTGTGTGTATGTATGTATATATATATATATATACACACATACACAGTGAGGAAAAAAAGTATTTAGTCAGCCACCAATTGTGCAAGTTCTCCCACTTAAAAAGATGAGAGAGGCCTGTAAAAATGCGTTTCGAGGACACAACCTCTTCCTCAGAGGTTGGCTCTGAGGAAGAGGTTGTGTCCTCGAAACGCGTTAGACAGTTGGTCATCCAGGGTTCCATCGTATGGACTCAAATGTTGTTTGGATCATACACCATGTTCAGTTTGACTTGCCTGTGTTATTATGTCCATTGTGAGTATGATACCTATTTTTGTTTCTTTAACCCCTTCCCGTTGATGCCTCCCGGCCCTTTAAGAGATTCAGACGCCGGGAGGCGGGGGGCAGTTGGGGCGTGGCTTAGGAATCATGTGACCGCCGTGATGACGCGTCACGGCGGTCACATGATCGGGAAAGGTCCCGTTTGAAAGAGCGGACCGGGACCTTTCCGTGAGTACCACACATGTGTGCTGGGAGCGTGCAGGGCGCGCGCTCTCAGCACATATGTATTTAGTTACATGGACGCAAATGTGCGGCCGCTCGGCGTCTAGGCCCAGACGCCGGGAGGCCGCACATTTGTGTGCGGCCGGCGCAAAGGGGTTAATAAATTATTTTAAACGATAATGCACTAGGTCGGTGCGCCCTTTTTCTGTTTCTCCATTTGTATCCAGTGTATTCGGACCACCCCGCCCTGTTGAGGGCAGCAAGCAGTGCATAATCCAGAAAATTCCAGAACATTCCTATTGGGTCTACTGAGTCCTTTCCTAGCGCAGGAGTAAAGTGTTTGTTGGCTTGGTTTACTTTTGCAGTTCTTAAAACTGAATGTGACTCAGCGGAGATCACATGCCTCTTCTTCACAGCAAAAATGTTATAACATGAACAGAGTTAAGAAAAAGACCTTCATCCTAACTTCTACAAACCTATGAATACAGAATCAACCCCTTCAGTGCTAAGTTTCAAGAAGTTCAGTGAATAGAATAGAAACAATATTTTTCTGATTGTTTGGAGTGGAATAGATCTGCACAAGAAGAAAGTGAAACTAAGTGCGAGGAGGGAGGGGCCGACAGTGCGAGGAGGGAGGGGCCGACAGTGCGAGGAGGGAGGGGCCGACAGTGCGAGGAGGGAGGGGCCGACAGTGCGAGGAGGAAGGGGCCGACAGTGCGAGGAGGGAGGGGCCGACAGTGCGAGGAGGGAGGGGCCGACAGTGCGAGGAGGAAGGGGCCGACAGTGCGAGGAGGAAGGGGCCGACAGTGCGAGGAGGGAGGGGCCGACAGTGTGAGGAGGGAGGGGCTGACAGTCTAAGTTTCTTCAAATATATATATTTTGTTTAGCCAAATTAGTTACCAAACATGGATGTTTAAGCAAATCACATATGCTGGAATGTTATTGTTTCAGATGAATAAATCTATTTAAATTGTTATTATTAAGGTAATGATTATTTTTCTCCTTCCTAAGTACAACAGAAAAGTTGTCCAAATATGAATGATTAACCTATTAAACTGGGGATAAAAAAACTAATATGAAAAGTTGTTATTCTAAAAATCTTCATCTACTTGTATATTAAAGTTACCAGCAAAGTATACCAGCAAGAATTAGTCTTTATGTAGAAAACTAGGATTTACATCCAGCCTTACTGACTAGTGATTTACATCAAATCCACCCTGGTTCATACTGTTACCTTGATGTCATTAACCCAATACCTAACTTTCATTCTTTTTGCTTTTGCAGAATAATATTGATCAGTGTCCTGAATGTGGTCATTTAAAGCTGAAACATGTTCTATGTGGATTTTGCTATGAGAAAGTTCGAAATGAAACCTATCTTATTAGGCAAGAAATAAAAGCTAAAGAAGATGGACCGTTCAATTCTCCTACTGTGGAGACGGTTATCCTCTATGATGGTGAAAAACCACATTCAGAAGATGAAAGTAAGAGGATTATTGAGAGAAAACGGAAACGGCCATCATGGTTTACCAGTGAATTTTATGCATAAATTGTACATGCTACTGATTACCTACATGGCTTCAGGATGACCTTGGTGGGATGGCCTGTGAAAATGTAAAGGTTCTCTGTTCAAGAAGAGTTTTTTCCTTCTTTTCAGGGCAATCGGAAAGGAACTGGCAAAAATGTGTTTTCTGTCCTGTTTAGTGAATGGATGACAGTCGAGGATATTAAAAATTCCAAGTTTTTGCATGTGCCTAGTTGTATGAATTTAATTCCGAATAATGTTTTATGTACTTGCAAGAGTTCAGTGTTTTGATTGGGATGTTCCAGACTTATACCTCCTTTCACATTTGCATATGGAGCCAACCACAGTTTCACTCAGGAGATTCAGCTGGATTTCCTGCAAAGCAATGGGAGGCTGACAGCACCCGCAGCCATTTGTGGCTCTTCCCATGTAACTGAAAATGCAGCAATTTCTTGCAGATTATCGGCCCTGGACACAAGTAATCTGCATGTTCAGGTAACTGCAAATGGTTATGGGAGCTGTCAGCCACACATTGCTTTTAACGGGCATTCTTACCCGCACCTGAAGCCCAGCTGAGTCTCCCATGGAAAATCGCAATCAGCCAAATATGCATTCCTTGAAATTAAAATTTCCCCATTCTCTTATGTACACATGTTCCTATCGCCACTTATTGTTTTTCACAGACATAGCTCTGCTTTCAGATGTTTTTCATAGCAATCTATATTGCACAATTAAACAACTACAAGCAACACATGAGGTCCTGAGATTAGCTCCTGCATTTATGTAGTCCTCAATACCATGACAAGTACATAACATTTACAGAGGCCATAGTTCTTACTAATTGATTTATTTTTGTAAAATTGTTTCATAATATTTTAACCACCTCCTGCCCGCCATATAGTACGACAGGCGCAAGGTGGTTCTCTCGTTCTGATTTGACGTCCTCCCATTCTCACTGCGCATGCACGGCTCAGGGAGCGCATGGCGATCAGCGGTGCGCTGTGTCCCTCGGACCCAGCGGATCACCGATCACAGAAAGAGCCGAAGATGTCAGCTCGGTCATGTGATCAGCTGTGCCCAATCACAGCTGATCACATGTAAACGGGGAAATGCCGGTTATCGGCATTTCTCTCCTCTCGAACTGTCACGCTGACAGAGGAGAGGAGAGACGGGAATCGGTTTTCTGTGGCGGGGACATGTACACTGATCATCAGGGCACTGATGATCAGTGTGCCCTGATGATCAGTGTGGCCCCAGAAGTGCCACCTGTCAGTGTCCATCAGTGCCAGCAGTCAGTGCTCATCAGTGCCACGTGCCAGTGCCCATCAGTGCCACATCAATGCCACATATCAGTGCCCATCTGATCTGCCTTTCAATGTCACCCATCAGTGCCAGTCAGTGCCACCTATCAATGCCAATCAGTGCTGCCAAGCAGTGCCACCTCAGTGCCAGTCAGTGCTGCCTATCAGTGCCATATATCAGTGTCATCCATCAGTGATGCCTGTCAATGCCCATCAGTGCTACCTATCAGTGTCCATCAGTGCAGCCTATCAGTGCCCATCACTGTAGCCTCATTAGCGCACATCAGTGAAGGAGAAAAATCACTTATTTACAAAACTGTATAACAAAAATAAGAAAAACCTTTTTTATTTTTCGAAATTTTCAGTAGTTTTTGGTTTGTTTAACTAGTTGCCGACCGCAGATAGCCGAATAACGGCTGCACTGCGGCCGGCCAGTTCTGGGTGGACATCATATGACGTCCTCCCAGAATGCGCTCTCCTGCGCGCCCCAGGGGGCGCGCACCCGGCGATCTCCGTGATCGCTGTGTCCTACGGACACAGCTGATCACGTGATGTGGTAAAAGGCCCATCACAGCGGCCTTTTACCACGTGATCAGCGGTGTCCAATGACACGCTGATCACAGGGAAATGCAAGTGCCGGTTCTCGGCTGCACTTTCCTCACGCTGTCAGATCGTGAGGAAAGTACTGCCGAGAACCGGCAGTTGTCAGAGCGGGGATCGGCATCGATCATCATGGCACTGATGATCAGTGCCCTGATGATCGGTGCCCAGCAGTGCCACCCGCAAGTTCCGCCCACCTGTGCCCAGCAGTGCGCCCACTAGCTCCGCCCACCTGTGCCCAGAAGATCACCCACCTGTGCCCAGCAGTGCACCCACCTGTGCCACTCTGCAGTGTCACACACCTGTGCCCAGAAGTGCCACCTACCTGTGCCCAGCAGTGCCACCCACCTGTGCCCACCCACCAGTGCAGCCCAGCAGTGCCACCAGTCAGTGCCCAGCGGTTGTGCCAGTCAGTGCCGCCAGTCAGTGCCGTCTATTAGAACCCATCATCAGTGTCACCTATCAGTGCTGCATATTAGTGCCGCCTATCCGTGACACCTCATTAGTGCTGTCTATCAGTGCCGCCTATCCGTGCCACCTCATTAGTACTGCCTATCAGTGCCCTTTAGTGCTGCCTATCAGTGCCCATCAGTGCTGCCTCATCAACGCACATCAGTGAAGGAGAAAAATTACCTGTTTGAAAAATTTTTATAATAGAAACAAAGAAAAACTTTAAATTTTTTACATTTTTTGCACTTTTTTTATTTATAGCGCAAAAAGTAAAGCGCCCAGTGGCAATTAAATACCACCAAAAGAAAGCTCTTTTTGTGAGAAAAAATATGATCAAAATTTCATATGGGTACAATGTTGCATGACCACACAATTGTCAATCAAAGTGCGGCAGCGCTGAAAGCTGAAAATTGGTTTGGTAAATAAGGGGGTATAAGTGCCTGGTAGGCAAGGGGTTAAGAAAAAATAAAAATCCCGAGCTGATTAAATACCACCAAAAGAAAGCTCTATCTGTCAAAAAAATTGATAAAAATTTCATATGGGGGTACAGTGTTGCATGACCATGCAATTGTCATTCAACGTGTGACAGCGCTGAAAGCTGGAAATTGGCCTGGGCAGGAAGGGGGTAGAAGTGCCCGTTAGGCAGGAAGGGGGTAGAAGTGTCCTGTAGGCAGGAAGGGGGTCGAAGTGACCTGTAGGCAGGAAGGGGGTAGAAGTGTCCGTGTAGGCAGGAAGGGGGTCGAAGTGACCTGTAGGCAGGAAGGGGGTAGAAGTGCCCTGTAGGCAGGAAGGGGGTAGAAGTGCCCTGTAGGCAGGAAGGGGGTAGAAGTTCCTGTAGGCAGGAAGGGGGTAGAAGTGCCCTGTAGGCAGGAAGGGGGTAGAAGTGTCCTGTAGGCAGGAAAGGGTAAAGTGCCCTGTAGGCAGGTAGGTAGAAGTGTTGTAGGCAGGAAGGGGGTAGAAGCCTGTAGGCAGGAAGGGGGTAGAAGGTAGGCAGAAGTAGAAGCGCCCTGTAGGCAGGAAGGGGGTAGAAGCGCCCTGTAGGCAAGAAGAAGCGCCCTGTAGGCAGGAAGGGGGTAGAAGCGCCCGGTAGGCAGGAAGGGGGTAGAAGCGCCCGGTAGGCAGGAAGGGGTAGAAGCGCCCTGTAGGCAGGAAGGGGGTAGAAGCGCCCGGTGGGCAGGAAGGGGGTAGAAGCGCCCTGTGGGCAGGAAGGGGGTAGAAGCGCCCTGTGGGCAGGAAGGGGGTAGAAGCGCCCTGTAGGCAGGAAGGGGGTAGAAGCGCCCTGTAGGCAGGAAGGGGGTAGAAGCGCCCTGTAGGCAGGAAGGGGGTAGAAGCGCCCTGTAGGCAGGAAGGGGGTAGAAGCGCCCGGTAGGCAGGAAGGGGGTAGAAGCGCCCTGTAGGCAGGAAGGGGGTAGAAGCGCCCTGTAGGCAGGAAGGGGATAAGTGCCCTGTAGGCTAGTGGTTAAAATATAACAGAAAATTGCATGGCAATGGTCAAAAGAGGCTGTTAGGGGCATGGGCACACTGATCATGCAGAGGGCCATGTGCTCGGGAGGCAAGTAATCCGTACAGGGCAGAAGGCTGCATGGATCTTCACGCATATATCTGCGTATACATCCATGTGGGACCAATGCTCAGTATGTCTGCATTCTGAGCCGTGCATTGGTCCTGTCCCAGGACTCAGAGGCACGGAAGATCCGTGTGCCGCCTACCTACCACTGATTTGAACAGGCTGACTGCAGCTACACAGACAACTTGTTTCTTCTGGGTGGGTAGATACAGCCCTCTGCATGGGCATACAGTTCTAAGCCTGAAACCCTCAGAATGTCCATCCTGTAAAGCTATGGTATTAAATGACAACAGTAATTTTAGGTAGTTTGAGCTGTGATCTGTACAAGAAAACACAATGCGCCCTATGCAACGTAGGCAGGCAAATAGGGCGTTAGAAGCGCCCTGTCCAATGACGGATGCAAGGTGGGTTCTGATAGGATGTCATATGACGTCCTTCCATTCTCACCGTGCATGCGCGGCTCAGGGAGTGCACAGCACGGCAATCGCTGGTGCGCTGTGTCCCTTGGACACAGCGGATCACGGAAAGAGCCGAAGGTCGGCTTGGTCATGTGATCAGATCAGAAGCGCCATGTGCCAGCAAGTGCTCATCAGGGGTCAGTGCCCAAGCGCCTTTCAATGTCAGGCAGCCAAAGTGGGGGTCAGAAGCGCTGCCTTTCAGTGTAGGCAGGAAGTGCAAACTACCAGTGGGTAGTGCCCATCAGTCCCTCATTAGCGCCCAGTGTAGGAAAAATCACTTATTTACAAAATTGTATAACAAAAACTAAAAAAAACATTTTTTTTTTTTAATTCTCAGTGGTTTTTGGTTTAAGAAAAAATAAAAATCCCCGAGTGATTAAATATCACCAAAAGAAAGCTCCTGTCTCAAAAAAATAGGCAGGTCATATGGGGTTGCAGAACCGCGCAGTTGTCATTCAAAGTGTGACAGTGCTGAAAGCTGGGGACAGAAGGGGGTAGAAGTGCCCTGTAGGCAGGAAGGGGGTAGAAGTGCCCTGTGGGCAGGAAGGGGGTAGAAGTGCCCTGTAGGCAGGAAGGGGTAGAAGTGCCCTGTAGGCAGGAAGGGGGTAGAAGTGCCCGGTGGGCAGGAAGGGGGTAGAAGTGCCCTGTGGGCAGGAAGGGGGTAGAAGTGCCCCAGGAAGGGGGTAGAAGTGCCCTGTAGGCAGGAAGGGGGTAGAAGTGCCCGGTGGGCAGGAAGGGGGTAGAAGTGCCCGGTGGCAGGAAGGGAGTAGAAGTGCCCTGTAGGCAGGAAGGGGGTAGAAGTGCCCGGTAGGCAGGAAGGGGGTAGAAGTGCCCTGTAGGCAGGAAGGGGGTAGAAGTGCCCGGTGGGCAGGAAGGGGGTAGAAGTGCCCTGTAGGGTAGTAGTTAAAGACTCCTTTTTGTATTTTATATACCCGTAGAATTTTGTTTTAAAGTTGCCTTTGCTTCAACAGCCATTTTCATGGGAACCTAGAGATGCAATTCAATATTTTAGGTGCACAGACAGCACTGATTTAGTTCACTAGGCACAGATGTTCTGTTTCAGCCACTTGAAACCTGATCTAACCTTATCTCTTAACAATACAAAGCCTATGTAAGTTATGGTAAAAAAAAAAACCCGAGAACATTCCTAACAGCCATACGGCGCTTGTGCTCTCCTGTGTGCATAAGGGTGCATTTTCAGATGTGGATGAGCCCCAAAGGGCACCTCTTTTTATATAAGAGTCCATTTTAGCACCAGCAATCTAAAGCTTTTTCACTATATTGTCAGCCTAGTTGGCTTCTCCTTTCATATACATCAGCAATTACTGTACATGGTGGACTGGTGACATTAACTGTTACTTATAAGAGATGAACTCTGATTCTTCAGCATGTGGAAATGTTATCAAAAAATATGTTACAGATAGTAAGTAGAACTAAAGGCAAATTTTTATTTTCAGTTTTGGACAGTATGGGATCAGAACACCTGTCAGATTTTTATTGCCACCTGTGCCCTCGGTAGGGGGTTTTGCCCTCTCTATTTCTCATGTCATCGCAGAAAATGAAAGAAAATCTAAAATTTTGGGTTGTCCCCAGAACAGTACTAGAGGGGAATCTTCCAATGGGGATGCTAGATCTGGTGGTTGTAAACCCTTACATATATGCAGTGAAGTGACTAGCCTCAGGTGATACACAGAGATTAAACAAATCCCCCTACATAGGTTGTACCTCTTTATCTGCAGTATTCTCTCCTGTACATCCATTCAAAGAGCATAATGTATACATCTTGTTTGAGCTTTCAGAAAGCAGGGGTGGGGAGCTAAAATTACACTGCAGAGCTCCCCTTCACACAGCACACAGGAATAGAGCTGAGGCTGTCAATCACAGGCTCTGCTGGAGCTCCCTCCCCATCACTTTTTTACCTCTTGGTGTCATAAAAACGTCAGAAGTGATTGCTGATAGCTGAGGAACAAGGCTCTGTATCACTTACTCCTGAGCACTGAACTCTGCCTCACTTACTAAAGATCGTTGCACTCTGCATCACTTACTCCTGACTCCTGAACTCTGTGCCATTTGCTACTGACCCCTGAAGTCTGCATCACTACTGACCTCAAAGCTCTGCATC